AAAAGTAATAAATCTAATTTGGAAATTTCAAGCACTCCCATTTTGCCTATAGTTTCACTGTTTCAATGAGCGGTGTATATTATTCTTGGACATAGGAGGTGTTCGAGTCATTAGGATATGATAGGCCCGTCTTTATTTAGGCATTTTTCCATTATAATTGTCCGGGTCATATGTTTTTTGTGAATGATTTTAAATATAACGACATCTCATGGCTTAGATTATGATACAGACGCATCTCATGGCCAATACTTCATTAGCCAATGGATATTTCAGTTTATCATGTCAAGTTGAATTCGTGTCCAAGTTTTTCAATGAAATATTGCCATTTCATGATGAAGACCTCATGATGCATATCGAGACTATTGAAAACATTTTTTTTTTTATAAAAACCGATTATCTTAACAAAATATGATTCCTACTTATAGACGTGGAAACTAATCATAATGTTTTGGTGCAATAGAAATATGAACATAACATAGCTTCGGAAATTATGCGAATTTTATAGAGGAAATGGAAGCCAAAATGAATGACACGAGTAGGGCTGATTTTGAGGCATGAAAAATAGGTTGTGGCTTTGTGGCACATGGATGATTAGTGGGAACGAGCGTCCGAATATGACACCAGTTATGGTCCTCACACTTAGTAGTTAACCTTCATATCTGGGAAGTGCCTCCACTCTCGTCCAAGTGGTCGATTGAACATGTGTCGAATAACGAGTACCATTCCAGTATTGAGTTCTTATCTAATGAGGTTATCTTTGTAGATGGTCTGAATTCAAATTAAACCTTTTTTTTTGTATGGATGGCCAGAAGTTATACCAATCCGATTTATTTATTTTGTTAACTCAAAGTTTTTTATTGTGTGTGACCTGGATTTGTAGCAAGCTTATTTGATTAATAATATATTTTAGCTTCCATGTGGTTCTTTATGATATATGTATGCGGCCGTAAGTGTGAAGCCACACCCTCTTCTCATATGACTGTCTCACTATTTTATATGTGGTCCGGAATAGAGTCCCAATACAATGAATAGTACCATTTTAAGTATTTTATATTCATGTTGTGTTGAGATTCTTCTCTTTCAATACATCAAAACATACGTGGATTTATTCAGATTCTGGCAAACAATGTACGACTCCTCCCAATTTGGGAACCATTTTACCAAGTGTATGCTCTTTAATTCCAATTGGTAGAGTGATTTTCCATACCAAGTCACCTTATTCGAATTCCAGGGGCCTAACATTGCGATTGTATATTTTCTCGACCTTGATTTTTATCTTGTGCCATATATTGGCTTGCCAATTCCCTACCTAGATCCAGATTTTCTAGATCATGCAATAGCACTTGGTCATAAACCTCTACAAACAAGTCTTTAAACTCGGTTCTTAATGATGAAACAATGATTTTCAAAGAAAGTACATTATTGTGGCCATATGTTAATTTGAATGGAGTGAAACTTGTTGTCGTACTTTTTGAATTCTTACATGCCCACAAAGCTTCGGACAAATGCTCGTGCCAATTTCTTCGATTTTATTCAATAATCTTTCTTCTTATAATATCAACTAAAATATTATTGTTGGCTTCAGCTTGTCTATTAGCTTGAGGATAATAAGGTGTTGAGTGATATACTTTTATGTTGTATAAGGAAGCAAAGTCCATAAATTTTCTACTCGAAGACCATCCTATTTATTATCTGACTGAGGAATGTCAAATCTATAATAACTTGGTGTTTTATGAATTGAATGACATGGGTCTGATCGACCTTCATCAAAGGTACAACTTCAATATATTTTGCAAAGTAATATATGAGTGCTAGTATGAATGAATGGTGTTTCGTTGAAGGCGGGTAGATTTTCCAAATTATATCCATGGCCCATGATTTGAAAGGCCACGACTTGATGATAGACTATAACTCTGTGGCTAGAAGGTGTTTGAGGTTTCCAAATCTCTAGAATTTCTCATATCTTCATGCTATTTAATGCAATCTTCTGACATGGTTGGCCAAAAGGAACCATGCCTATGAAGAGTCCATTTCATATTGGGACCGGCTCTGCACCTTAATGAACTTCTGCTATAAGTAACTTGGCATCATTCATATCCATGCATTTTACGAGAACATCATCGATTTATCTCCTAAATAGGCGGCCATCTATTAATGTATACCTTAATGCCTAAAATTTCAAGTTTCATCTTCGGCGGTCCATCTTTCTGGCCATATTGCATCCAAATCTTCATTCGTGATATCTCCAAATTGTATTATTGATGGGTCAAATTATCAGGATTGACAAGATCCTTGTTTGGGTCTTCTTGTGTCATATTTTTTACTTGTAGTAGTTCGGTAGAATCTACTTTCTGCATTGTGATGAAAGAATTATTGCTTTGGGATGAGTTGGCCTGACGGCCATTAGTTTCATCGCATGGAGATTCGGGATGTGGAACCTTGCCCTTATGTCTTGGGATATAGTTCGACCGCATTTGTTGATTGAACGTTTGGTCCTCTCTCCGGGCTGTATATTTGGTTAGTGCATTGTCAACAAACGTATGAACACTTGGTTGCCAGAAAAAATCATCTGATGGGGATCTTAACTTCTTCGGGGGTGATATTTGACCATCGAAATGTTGAGATTCTTACTTTTTGTTAACTAACACCACAATTGTAACTCTTGGACGAATTTGGTTTTTCTTTATAATTCACTGGGTCTAAAGGGAGGTTGTTATGAACAGAACCAAGGAATCGGCTTTGTTGTTCTATTCTTTAGGCTGTATATCACCTTTGTAATCGATGTAATTATGATTGGGAACGTTCAGGATATTGCATTTCTAAATCCCGCCAGGACATTTTACTTTCTACTATGTCCTATTTTTTAATAAAATTGCCCCGCGACCAAGGAATTTGTGATCATAGTTGATATGCAGGGCCGGCCCTGGGTCCGGGTGAGAGGGGTGCCCGCCCAGGGCCCAATTTAAATAGAGGTCCATTATTATTTATGTTATATATAATATTTATATATGCACTTATTTGATGTTAATGTATTAATAAATGGATATGGTTTGATGATTAAGTGCTATATATACTGTTTTGGGTTCAAACCCATGTAGCTTCGAAATTTGAAAATATTTCTTTATACATTGTAAAGAAATAGAAATCCCATGTTAGAAATTTTATTTTATTCAATTATTTATATTTTTATTATAAATAAAAATATATATTATTTATATATATTTAGGTGCTCCTAATTTGGAAAAATTAATATTAATACTATTATTGATATTTTATCTAAAAATGCTACAAAAAATTATTTTATTTAATTATTTAGATTTGATTATAGGTAAAATATAATGAAGTATATCATTTATATATATATTTAGGGGTCTTTTGCTTATTTTTTTAATATTTTTTTGTATTAAAAAGAAAATAAGTATTAGACAAAATTATTATTATGATGAAAAATTGTCAATAACTCGATTTTGAAATTCAACCAAATTCTTATATGTACTTTAAAAATTGTATTATGTCTCTTTATATTTTCAAAAACGTTGCATGAAATCCCTTTTTATATTTTTTTGGGTGATGAGTTTTACATCTATATTTTTTTACATGACGGGAGTTTCATATATATATATATATGTTAAAGTATAAGAAGCGTCACACAATTTTTAAAGTATATGAAAAATTTATGATAAATTTTGAAATTAAATGTAAATTATGGACAATTTTGCTTTATTATTATTATGGATATTTTTTGCAAAACAAATATCAGGGTCCTAACTTTTATTTTGCTTTGGTGAAAGTTCGACGCTGCCCTTGACCTGTATGTGAGAGAGGTGTGTGATCATCATCACTATATAAAGCTTATCGCTGAAAGGTTCGCACTGACCTTGAACTCTCCGCGTGAGTGGTGTGTGATCATTGTCATCCCATGGTGGTTTTTTGGCATGTGATCGTGTATCTTGGCGATGATGATCAACGTCGTGATGGTTAGGGATAAAATGCTCCTAACACTTTCCAAGATAGATTATCTAGGCAGAACCATTATTAGGGTGATGGTTTTGAAATATCAGAATTCTCATATTTCTCCTTGCCTTTATTACGCCTATGCGGTGATCATCCTCGGAACACTCTGTCGCCCCGCAGGGGTTCTTTTGGTGAGGTCGGTCGTATTATTATAGTGGCGATCTAAATCTTGGGAAAGAGTTCATTATCCACTTTCATACCAACCATTGAGACGGCATGCCGAAATTAGTTATGCCACTTGAAACATTTTCACTATTTAAAGAGCTCACTTTTTCATACTACTTGGACGCTCTTTATTTATATATTTTATCAGTTTGGGAATACTTTTCTTAATTATGTACGCTTGAAATCCTTAGCAAATATATCTATATGGCATTCCTTTCGAAAACATGGAAACACGTCTAACCTTCTGAAATATATCTGATACACCAAACATCTTTTCGAAACACATTCAGACGCATGTCTGGGTGACTTTTGCATCAATTTTTGTAATAAAAAAAAATATATAGAACAAAAATAATAAGGAACTTCCCTATGCTTAAATGACTTTAGAAAATTTCAGCATTATTTATTAATAATAATTTAAAATATACTCCCTACACTCTCACTTTTCTTTTTTTAGTTGTCATCCAAATTTATTTCGTTTATTTTTTTTAAGTAAAAAAATATCACTTTTCTTTACCAAAAAAATAAAAATTTCTAATCTTACATATTTTTTTTAAAACCCGTGCCCGGTCAAATGAGCACACAATTGAATGAGCAAGGGAGTAGTACTATATATTGAATCACATATATTTCACCTAATAAAATAACTACTGTTTTTTTCCATCTATTTAAAATTCTCCATAGTTTAATATATAAAAATAAATATTCATATGTGATTTTATTTTTCTTTATTATTATTTATTAAATATCAATGTTCAAACAAACAAATATATTTACGGTTGACGAGTATTGTGACGATCTCAAAGGTAAACAAACTCTGGGCAATCATGGTGATTGAAAATACTTATAATGGAGTTAGTGTCATATACATGAAGATATGGGGCAACCTATATAATACATACATGTAATGGAATTCCATCATAATGATAATAAGTACACTTAGTTTTGATGCAGAGGGGGAAAAAAGTGAGGGAGAAGAGCAAAATAGAAATGAATGGAACATAAAAAAACTAGTGCATGAGCAAAGAATTACATAAGCATAAGTTGCGAAGAACTCACGGCAGAATTTACAAAACTGTGTTGATATGGAGTGCTTTCAGGAGTGAAGTTGCCATTTGTTTAACCAATACTTGGCCTCCAGAGCTCTGCCCATCTCTTCTCTCCTCGATCAAATTCTGAAGCTTCTGAGGTAGGTCGTTCTCCACAATCAATTGCTTTGGACGAGGGTGATGCTCATATACAGCCTAAGAAGTAAGGGGATCAACAATTCGTCATGAGCTCATAGTAGCAGATTGGGTATCAACTGCTCAAGAAAGCTGATAACAGTAAAGTAGAATTTAACTCCAGTTGCCTAAGATAGATTTAAATCTAACACCGAAAAATTGAATAAGACTCAACTGAGCTTTCAAGTTTCATTTCATATAATCGCACAAATGAGATGCCTAAATGATTCTATTGTTAAAAACATCATACAACCTCATCTGTTATTACTAACTGGAATATCATTATACAATGTTTTTTTAAAACAAGACAAAACAAAGAATCCAGTATAATATGGACTTTTCATACAGGCATGTTTTAAGCATAGAGAATGAACGAATGAACTATATAGCTGATGCTTGCAAATAATATTTTTCCATAAAATAAGCACTCAATATCACAATCAGAATCCAGTAATTAGTTATATTGGCATTCAACTAGTAGATTTAACCACAATGACAGCTCTTTTTATTGGTCTAAGCAAGAAACAACTTGCAATATAGTGAACAGCATAAAACCAATGATAAACTAATTCTAGACTAAACAAAACTGGTAAATTTATGTGAGGGAAACGGTGGTGTTAGGGGCCAAGCGGTAGCAAGGTTGAAGATATCAGTGCAAAAAATGGAAATTAATTACTCATATTCTACCCCCATGAAACCAAATAGAGGCTACTGGATAATGGGAAGGTAGATTAAGTGGATGCAGATGTAGTTCCAAAAGGCCAGCTCTTATAATGAGTACACTTTTCAAGTGTGGCCTTTCAAAGGGAGGCTTTTAATAACTTCCATGATTAATTTAGTCACATCACCTGCAACTTATAAACACAAATGGATTTGTTTAATATTACCAAGTTGGATTCAGAATCCACGAAACACTTAATAACATAATGAACCATCTCTCATCAAAGCTGTGACTCTAGTCTGTGATAAGGGTTCCTAATCAATCAAATTTATCTATACCACACAAAGAAGCAATCAATCAGCAACTAAATGGATGAGCAAAGACCAAGCTAAGACTGACCATTGCCTGCTTCATAATACTAGGGTGTCTTTATGATCTTTCATATTCATTCAAAAGGTTTCATTACACTCACATGTTCAAGGGTTACTTATGGCATGCACTAGAAAATTGAACATCCCATTCAATAGTAAAAAAAATCAATTTCCCAATTCAATAAACATTAAAGTTTCTTGCCCATAGTAAATATAGTGTTATATGCTGAGTTGCTAAAAAAATAACTTAGACTAAGATAATTGCAACTGAATGACAGGTAGAGGGGATAAAATAATGCACATGTTGATTACCAACCTTTATCAACTTAAGCAAATTCAATCGGGCTATTGCATCAGGATGGTCAAGTCTGCTGATTAATAGCGGTGTCAAACCATTAACTGCCAAAGTAGTGTTTATTCGAGGTGATTTCCTGCACATGCAAACAAAATATAACTTATAAAACCAAAAAACTCAAGTCTATTAAAAAAATTAAATTACTTCAAAATTATCAGTGAGGCCCAATAAATTGCCACTAGCTATTTCTTCTGGTGCTCATAATTGTTTATCCAATTTCCAGACAAATGAAGAATGATCTCAATGCATGGCCTCTAACAGTTAATGAAGCTTTGCCAGTGTGATTGACAAAGATCCCAATGATGGAGTTAAATTCTACAAAACACGGGGAATTTCATCAGAGCCTAGCTGGCTAGGTCCAATCACTAAATCCAATTCAGGTAGTTTGGTACAAAATGTATTTATAGCACGAAATATCAGCGAAATACACACCCATGGCTTCACAAACAAATAAATTAGACTCATAGGTACCCAGCACAGCCTCATCCACCTCTCCAGATGGATTTCCCCATACAGGCTTTGATAATTAAGTACTGCTATATATTAGATCACAGAAGGTGAATCTTATGCATTCGATGATAAATGAGGTCTGGACCAGTGCAAGAGCACAATAAAGATTCATGAGATGACACACGACGATAAATATAAACCAGCATAGAAATAGATAGGATTGCAAGAGGACATACGTAATTATTTTCAAGAAAGGCTCCAGTATGTGCAGAAATTGTTGTTCTGTACAGTGCTGGAAAAAAGAAACCAGTTTCTGTGCAGCTTCTTTTTTAAGCAAAGCCTGCTCCACTTTCCTGTTTTCACTGTCATGAGCCAGACATACAGCCATTGAGTCTAATGCAGTCACTGACCAGAGCTCATCTTCGAGAAGGTTCAGGTAAACATCCAAGCCTCCATGAGCTCGTAATTGTTCTCTTGCATTGCGAGATGCATGAGCCATATCACATAACAGAGGCAATGCATACTGCTTCAAAGGAGAACCTGAGACAATAAATTGCATTAAATGGGGAATGATCCCATTTTCTGCCGCTTGCTCTTGTCTTCTCTTGTTAATCTTGCATAGGTTGAACAGGGAATTAAGGACCTTCAACAGATAAAAGAAGTTAGAAAATTTCTAAATAGGAGGATAAATGCACTTGAACCAATATTTGTATGTAAAAAAATTGACTTGCGTTGAACATCCAAAATACAACATCCGATGTATAACTCACTTGTAACAAGTAGACAAAATACATTTCTAGCTTAATTGAAACTTTCTAATTTATATGCTCAGCGTTACTCTGAAAGGGTTCCTCAAGTTGGGTGTTCAGGTGGGTCACATATTAAAAGAAAGAAATTAGAAACAATGCCCTCATAAATGTTCATCAAGGAAAATGACTTTTGTGTTTATGGAGGAGGCTCACCTTAGATATTATAGGAACCAATGCTTCCTAAATAATTTTCAAGCATAAAGTACAGTTCAGCTACAGATTTAGTGTTCGGTGACATTTCACTCCATTTTTTTTTTATGAGTGAGCTCTAAGAAATCAATGGCCATAGTGATTCATACACCCAATGACAACACAATATGCAGATGTATATTTGATTATAAGATAGCTCATATTTGCCAAATCTAATAGAGCTAAGCACCCCAAGTTCAACCCAAATCCAAGAGCATTTTAAATCTACTTCAAACATATTTCTAACTAAATTTGATTTATCTAACAATTCCCCCTATCATTGTTCCTCACCTCAGCTCCTCCAATCCTAACCCCCATCATGTCCTTCACCCTTTAAGGTCCTCCCTTCCAACTCCTCTTTTCCACTCTCAAAAAGACCATTCCAAGAAGTGCTTCAAAGGTGTTTCCAACTGGATGCCTAAGCTAGTGACTCTGTACATTGGTAAAATCCACCTCTCAAGTTCTGACAAAGATCCCTGGAGGAAGGTTGAAGTCTTACTCGGGTTTATGACCGCTACTTCCCCAAGATTGACTCCACTCATTGTCAGGCTGCAATTGGTTTGGATTCCCTCTGAAAATTTAATTTGCCTTCTCATATGCCACAGGTCCTAATCCCCCCAAGGCACATTCCTTCCCAGTCAGCCAAGTTGTCTATTGGGCCAGGCCTGCCTAGGTCCACTTCATCCCGCCAAAGACTAGGCCCAGAATAAATACCCAAAGTGGGGCCTTAACATGGGTCCTATCTAGGCCTGCTATATTGGCCCGGCCCAACCCATTTGAAAAGGGAATGATACATGTTATAATATTGGCCCAGCCCAGCCCAAACGAAGCCCACTAAAATAGTGGGCCACGAGTTGGTCCAGCCAGTCTGGGCAACTCGATCTTCTAGCAAGAGATCTATAAAGTGGTTTAAGTATTACACGGATGCCATCAAATTGGGTGCATGGATCCCATCTAGTTCCCAACGCCATCATCCCTCAACTCAATATAGGTCCTCTATTCTAGCTTTTTTCTCTTCTCTTTAGGATTGGCTACTTCTCAAAGCATTTGGCAACCATTGTTTTTCCTTTAAGCTCAATCCTAATTCCTAACTTAATAAATGTGACATTGGAGACCTTCTTCAACTAAAACCCTGACTCTCTCAAAGGCTTACCTTTATTCCTAAGTGTGTGTGTGTGTTTTTTTTTTTACACGATAATGTGAGAATTCACTGCCAATACTATTTGAGTGGGTAAACTGCAGGGGCTTAGCACAATATATTGCAAACCACACCAACCAGAATTTCCTAGGCTTGGATGATAAGGCGAGGTTCGAACAGTCACTAGCCACCATACCATACCGCACCAAACTAAGTCACTCCTTCTGGCCCCCCTAGTCCCAAGTTATAGTAATACCTTTCTATTCAAATTTGTAAACCCTTCTTTAATGTTGGCAGTTGTCCATTCACCCTTTCCAGCTTTGGTTGGAAACATTCAACTAGTTTTTTCCTTAGTCTCCTCCACTCCCTTTCTTCCCATTTGTGTTTGGCTATGTATTCATGATCTTCATACTTATGCTTGGCATCTTGAAAATGTTACATACTTGAGGAATAGATGGGGTTCTGTCATGTATGTTCATCATTCTACGATTTCCTTATTGGACTTATCTTATGCCAAAATAAAGGCATCATCTTTTGGCAGGAAACAAATTATATAACTCACACAAGAGCTGACCAATCATATTTAGTTAATGTGGTGAGCGAGTTCATGCACAATCCAAGCGACTAACACATATACGAAGTGGATCGTGTTGAATTCTGGAATTAATTCCCTTGATCTTTATTCATCAACACAAGAGAATATATATACAAGAGGAATTGAAACGATATCTCTAGAAAATAGGAAACTAAATCCCATAAAAAGGAAACTTCCTGACTAGAAAAAAAGGAAAATAAACCTCTTCTAATAATTAGTTATACACAGATTTGCTATACTAATATACACCTAATTTCCTATATTTTCTACACCCCCTCAAGCTGAGCAGTATATACTTACCATGCTAGCTTGGAACAAAAATCATGGAAGTTAGGACGGTGAAGAGCCTTCGTAAGGATGTCATGTCTTCAATTTGATGTTGAGGTGGAAAATGACTCAAAGTAATTACTTGATCTTCGTTTTTTTTCACTGATGAAGTGCCTATCAGTCTCTATGTGTTTGGTTCTATCATGGTGCACTGGCAATAGCAGCCTGACTATCAGTCTTTATGTTAATAGGACCCTTAGACTTGATCCTTAATTTTTGTAATAGTCTTTTGAACCACATTCCCTCGCAGATTCCATGCGCTGTAGACCTGAATTCCGCTTAAGCACTGCTGAGTGAAACAACAGATTGTTTTTTATTGCGCCATGTGACAAGATTCCCCATACCAATGAACAATACCCACAAGTAGATCTACTGTCAATTATTGATCCTGCCCAATCAACATCTGTATATACATCGATAGCTCTTAAAGCAGTTTTTCTGAAAAAATAAACCCTCACTAGGATCACTTTTTGAGATACTTAATAATTCTGTAAACTGCTTCCAAATGTTCTTTAGATGGGTTGTTCATGAATTGACTAACCACAGTGACCGAAAATCCAATGTCAGGTCGTGTATGGGTTAGATACATGAGTTTGCCTACAAGTCGTTGGTACCTTCCTTTATCTAAAGTAGTACTTAACATTTGGATCCATAGGAGTATCAGCTGGTTTGCATCCCATCATTCCAGTCTCATTAAGTAAGTCTAAGACATTTTCGTCGGGAAAATGATATGCCATCGCTTGATCTTGCAACTTCCATACCCAAAAAGTACTTCCAAGTGACCCAGGTCTTTAATCTCAAACTCTTGTGAGAGAAGTCCCTTTGGGCTATTTATCTCCTCTTCATGATTTCTTGTGAGAACAATGTCATCTACATACACAATGAGGGCAACAATTTTTTCTTCTAGGAAATGCTTGACAAACAGAGTGTGATCAGCTTGACACTGATTGTAGAAATTCTTTTTAAGAACATTAGTGAAATGGTCAAACCATGCTCGAGGAGACTATTTAAGGCCATATAAAGATTTCCTCAATTTACATACCTTGTTGCTTGTGAATTTGTCCTCAAAACCTAGTGGTATATCCATGTAGACTTCCTCATTGAGATCCTCATTTAAGAAGACATTCTTCTTAAATGGTCAAACCATGCTCGAGGAGACTATTTGAGGCCATATAAAGATTTCCTCAATTTACATACCTTGTTGCTTGTGATTTTGTCCTAAAAACCTGGTGGTATATCCATGTAGACTTCCTCATTGAGATCCTCATTTAAGAAGACATTCTTCACATCTATTTGAAAGAGAGGCCAGTCCATATTTACTGCAATTGAGAGTATAACCCTTCTTGAGTTTAAATTTGCAACTGGAGCGAATGTCTCTTGATAATCAATCCTATGTGACTAAGTGAACCTCTTTGCTGCAAATCGAGCTTTGAATCTTTCCACACTTCCATCTGATTTGTACTTGACGGAGAAAATCTACTTACATCCCACTGTGCGTTTATCAGGAGGAAGTGATGTGATAATCCAGGTTCCACTTTTCTCAAGGGCTCTAATTTCTTCCAACGCAGCAGATCTCCATTCTCGTATTTTTAGAGCTTCTTGAATTGATGAGAGAATTTGAATATGTTCAATCTTTGACACAACTGCTTTGAAATTAGGAGATAGCTTGGCTTATGACAGATGCTTTTGAATAGGGCGCTGGGTACAAGATATGTAAATCTGGAAAAGAATCTGCAGGTTGATCATAGGAAGAACTTTGTAAAAGATCTGCCTTACCGTGTATGTTTTCTATAGAGTTTGTAACCGAGATAGGAGCTTGACTATGCTGAAATTGTTCCGGGTCCGGCTGAAGATGGGTTTGAGGCTGAAGTTGCTCGTGGAGTTTATTCCTCCTAGTATAAACCAGAATTTCCTTGGCTTTTGTGTTGTTCTCTGAAGGGTTAGAATTGGGAAGAAAAGGTTCACTTAACTCAAGGATTGGTGGACTAGGGAAAAGAAAATCCATAAGGACTGTTTCAGGAATAGGTTCAAGAAGTGAAGGTTCAAGGAGAGAATCCCAATCCCAATTATGAGATTCTTGGCTATTCTCCTCTTGAATGGAGGAATTGAGGTAGAATGGTTTATCCACAAAGAAGTTACATCCATGGAATGGAAGATCTTTTTAGTGCCCTTTTTGTTTGGTGAATACCCCAGGAAAATACATTTAGTGACTCAAGGATCAAGTTTTCCCTCTTTTGTAAATACACATGGACAAATGCAACACTACCGAAGACTTTTAGAGGAATATGGTTGATAAGGTGTGAGGAATTTGGGAATGCATCTAGGAGGGTTTGGCAAGGTGATTTGAATCCTAAGATTCCAAATAGCATCCTATTGATAAGATAGGTGGCCGTGAGAATGGCTTCGCCCCCAAATTGCTTTAGAACATTTGAAGTGAAGAGTAGGGAACGAGCAACTTTAAGAAAATGGCAGTTTTTTCACTCTGCGATCCTATTTTGTTGGGGGGCATCCACAAAAGAGCTTTGATGAATAATGTCATAGGATTGAAAGTAGCGACCAGGGAATAGAGTTAAAGAAATCTTGTGCATTGTCAGATCTAAAATTGGTTCTTGATCGTGTCATGAAAATTTTGGAAGATTTGTGAGGTTTAAGATTTATCTTTCATAAGATATACCTAACTTAATCGGGTATGATCATCAACGAACAACAAAAACCATTTTTCCCAGGTAATATTTGCAACTCGTGAAGGCCCCCATAGGTCAGTGTGTATAAGAGAAAAAAGGACAGGAGGATTTATATAGTTGTGGTGGGTATGAATTACGAGTGCGTTTTGACAATTGACAAATATCAGAATGAAAATATTTCAAGCTTTTAAAGGTCCTAAATCATTTTTGGAATGATACTCGACAACAAATTTATGTAGAGATCCTAATTCCCAAAAGAATAAGCAATTGAAAAAAAGTTTGTATGATGGTGTTAGGTGTATGGGAATGTGTAGAACATTATTAGGCGTAAGGGGAAATGTGTAGAATATTTAAGAACGTGATAGTTCCTTGAAGCATTGAGAATAGTAGAACATTAACTAGCATTTAAAGAGAGGCTAGACTACACCTTTGTGATGTATATACATGCGTTAATGTGGTTAAGAAATAAAGAGAAATATCAGTTTTGGTTTGTGTTTGTTCACATGGTATCAAAGCCTTAAGGCAAGGATCCTACGCTTGAAATTCGGCCGAATTCCATCTCACCTTCGGCACGTGGAGGTCCGGCGAGATTTCGGCGAACATGTGAGTTACACGCTTAGTGTTTAGTTGCACCAAGTTCATGAGGCGGCGTGTGTGGCGGCGTCCAATAGGTGCAGCTAGGGGCAGTTCTGCTCCGGTAACGTGTTGTTGAGTGGTTCTGCTCCAGATTGTTGTGCGGCATCTGCTCTAGAGTGCTGTGTGGTTCTGCAGTTATGTTCTGCTAACAGTATGAGAGAGGACAAGTCCAGTGTTATTTCGGAGGTTGCTCTGGTCACATCCAAAATTTCTGAGTAGAAACTTAGTGGATTGAATTATCTAAAGTGGAGCACAACCGTGAACCTATATTTGTTGATATTGAAAAGGAAGATCATTTAGAAGAAAACCCCCTACCATGGAAGAGCGAGGAGGGCATGGATACATGGGCCAGCCACCTGCTCTTTGCTCAAATCCAAATCCAACTCCGGCTTCTGACTTTTCCCTGTTGCCAGCATCATCTTCGTCATCAGATCCCACAGTGCTAGATGACCTTTTGATTGTTCTCCCGAAAGATACTCGCTCTTGCAGCTACCCTATTTCTAATTTTATCTCATATGATCATTTGTCTACCATTGCCTCTGCCTTTGTCACATCTCTTGATTCGATTACTATTCCTAAGTTTGTTCATGAAGCTCTTTTTCATCTTGGACGGCGACAAGCCATGATAGACGAGATGAATGCCTTGGACCTTAATAAGACGTGGGATTTGGTGGATCAACTTTCTAGGAAGAAGCTGATTGGCTGTAAACCGGTCTTTCCGTTAAGATGAATCCGGATGGATCCATCGCTAGATTGAAAGCATGTCTGATTGCTAAGGGATATACACTGGTATATGACATTGACTATTCTGGCATATTTTCGCTAATGGCTAAGCTCACCTCAGTAAGTCTATTTCTATCTTTGGTTGCTACATATGACAAGCCTCTACCTTCAGCTGGACGTCAAGAATGCTTTCTTGCATGCGATCTCGCTGAAGAGGTTAACATGGAGCAACCTCCAGGATTTGTTGCTCAGGGGGAGAATAGGCCGTCACAGGATTTTTTGGTTTCGAAAATCCCTTTATAGTCTGTAGCAGAGCTCTCGTGCATGGTTTGGTTTGGTTTGGAAAATTCAGCTAGGCTCTTGAGCAGTATCGTATGGTGAGAGATAAATCTGATCAGTCCGTTTTCTCACGTGGTCCAATTCACGAGTGATTCTCTTGGCAGTAAATATAGACGATATAATTATAACTGAAAATTATGGAATGGGTATTGCTTCATTATAAGATTAACTGAGAGTCAAATCCAAACAAAGGATTTGGGAAAATTAAAGTACTTCTTAGAGTGGAGGAAACTGTCTCTTTCGACGAAGATATGTATTAGATTTGCTGGCTGAAACATGGAAATTGGGTGCAAAACCCTGGAATACTCCCATGATTTCGAACACTCACGTGACAAAGAAAGAAAAACTATTCAAAGACCTTGAACGGTACAAAAGGGTAGTTGGAAAGTTAAACTATGTACTTATGTAGAGAAATAGAGGAAAGCTTTGTTATATTATTCCTAAGAAAAATAAAAGGGAAGAAGACATATATATATATATATACATATATATAGATAGATAGATAAGCATTAAGATAATGTATCATAACAAACTACATCTAACAAAATCAAAGATATAGATATGAATCTAATAAATCTAACTCCCCTCAAGCTAGGGGTACAAATCGTACAATCCAAGATCTAGGACCTCTTAGGGCTTTTGGAAATATGTCTGCAAGTTGATCATCAGATGTTATGTATTTAGTATCTATAGATCTAGATAACACTTTCTCCGTGATGAAGTGACAATATATTTCGATATGCTTTGTTTGTTCATGAAATGTTGGATTTGATGCAATATGTAATGTTGCCTGGTTATTACACCATAACTTTATCTTTGTCATATTACAAAACTTAAGTTCACAAAGCAATTGTTTAATCCAAAGAAGCTCACATGAGCTAAGGCATAGCACGATATTCAGCCTCAGCACTAGAGTGCGCAACCACATCTTGTTTTTTTACTATTCCAAGATGTCAAATTGCCTCCAATAATCACGCAATAACCAGAGATAGAACGCTTATCGATTGGAGACGCCACCCAATTAACATCTGAATATCCAACGATCTCAGAATGACCATGATTTGTGACCTTCTAATATACCGCAAAGTATACATAAATGTCTTCCAATAAGAGTCATATGGAGATTGCATGAACTGACTCACTACACTTATTGAAAATCATATATTTGATATTGCATATCCTCTAAGTGTTGTTAGTTAGTTTTTGTCCTCCCCGACTGAGGATCACTGGGTGGTTGTGGAACGCATTCTACGTTACCTAAAAAGGGCTTCAGGTCGCCGGATCTTGTACCAAAATCATAAACATATGAGAATAGAATGTTCAATAAATGTTGACTTGGCATACTCTACAGAAGATCAAAGGTCCACCTATGGTTACTGGGTATCTGAGGGATGATTTCTCGTTCAACATAGAATCCGAATATCGTGCTATGGCCAAAGGTACATGCGAAATAATGTGGATTATTCAACTCTTGGGGGAAGTCAAAATGGAGGCTACAACTCCCGCTAAGCTATAGGCTGCCATACACATGGCCTCTAGCCCTATCTTCCATGAGCACACCAAAACATTGAATTTGACTGTCATTTCATACAAGAAAAGATACAACAAAATGTAATTACTACAAAGTTCATTCGGACAGAAGACCAACTAGCAGATCTCTTCACCAAACCACTACATTGTTCTCGAGTTAATCACCTTTATATCAAGTTGGGCATGACTAATGTCTATGCACCAACTTGAGGGAAAGTGTTAGGTGTATGGGAATGTATAGAATATTGTTAGGTGTATGGGAATATGTGTAAAATATTTAAGAATGTGATGGTTCCTAGAAGCATTGTAAATAGTAAAACAGTAACTATCATTTAAAAGGAGGTCTAGACTACTCTATGATGTATATATATGCTGGCAAACAATTCTGCATCATTTGACTTTCTGATACCAACGAATTTGGAAAGAACAAGGACATAACCTTGATGATCTCTAACTTCCCAAACAATAAGGAATCAAAAACCTAATTATCTAAAAACAAACCTAATTATCTTATTATGTAATTATGTAACGCTATCTTCACCAATCATGAGTTGGTTTCGTTACCAAAATTAACTTTGAACTGAATCCTATATTATCCAACCCAATTCAAAAGCCACCGCATAGATTACTTATATTGGATTAAATCCATAAGATGGGATCTCTTTTCAGAAATACGCTGTATCAATTTGCACTTAGTTCACGCACTAACAATTGATATAATTTGTTATAAACAAATGCATCAAGTAGATTATCATTTATATTACCATGGACATCTCCTTTTCATTATGTCAAAAAACATTGGTATCGTCGAATTGCACATTGGAAAAATCCTAGCCATCAAACAAATCCTGCAGAGCATTGCAATTGCCCAATTTGGACCTATCCCCCATCTATGCGTGGAATGTGACTCCAAAAATGCCCTCAGTTGGATTCATGGGGCTCCAGCCCTCTAGAAGCTAATCTTAAAGATAAATAAATTCCACCATCTTATCTCGATATGCCCCTTCATCTCCTTTGAGCACATCCTGATCTAGTAATATGATGGCAGACACTTTGCAAAACATGGGGCTAAAGGGCACACCAGTCTTTCAGTCTGGTTGTGATCAAAGCTAGGCTAAAGTCTAACATGATCCGCTCCCCCACCAAATTTCTACCCTAGCTTGGCTCTCTCTATGTACTCAATAAATTTAACATAAATAAAATCTTTACTCTCCTAAAATGATCATCATCTTTTGTTACTCAGAATCCAAACACCAAGTTCTGAAAAGTATTTGAGTTGGGATTCGTATCAAAACATTTAATCATCTTAGAACCAAAAATTAACTTGCATAAGGTTATATCCATTATGCAGGCTTTCCCAGAGAGAGAGAAAAAAAAAAAAAAAAAAAAAAAAAAAAAAAAAAAGATACTAATTCAGTGCTTACCTCATGGTGTATTTGTTGCACAAGAGAACCTTCATTTAGATCAAGGTTCGGGACCAGATATTTGATAGCATCTGCTCGCTGAAGTTGTTCTAAACAGTGTGGGTCCATCGAGAGATGATTTATACACTTTAACAACTAAAAGAAACAAATAACATGAAGTAATTCAGAACAGAGACGTGATCAAAAGTTATGTAGGAAGGACTTTGCATCTTACCTTCAAAAGAATAGGTGGTTCTATTTTGTTGAACATCTGAAAAAGCCGACTTAGCAAACTTTGGCTGCACATGTAAGATTTTACTGCTGTGTCTGCTGCAGCGAACTCGAGGAGAAGGTCTGCCACCTTTTGCAGATACTCCTGGGCAATATCAATATTCCATGGGGATACTGCATGTGTAAGTAGCCCAGATGAAGTTCCACTTAATGATCTGGAAATTAAAACTCCAGAACCAGACAAGACACCAGATGCAGCAGGTGATCCAACCCGAGCATTAGATGTCTGATGCCCTAATTTTTTACTGGTAGCTCTGGATAAACTTCTAGGCAATGATTCGTCAGCAGAGTTCTCCCTACCTCGTACAGAAACCTCTGGGAACATTTAAGACCACACAAATCAAAACTGACTCTTCTACAGAATCATTAGGTCATATGAATAGCTCAAGGACCTAAACCAAATCTTTAAAGGTATAATAGTAAGCTGTAATTCTTATATGAGAATCAAGAGAAATGAGCATATATAATCACCTGAAAATTCAGCCATCAAATAATCAAGTCCATTTGTTTTCTTGTTGGCAGATGCTTGTGATGGAGGTAAAACGCTTTCATATTTATCTGTCCCTGTGAAATGTGGTGCATACCCAAGCTGGCCAGACAACCGGAGTGATGGAGGTTCTTTATCCAATACGCTAAGAAGAGGTTGAAGGTTCTCTTGTTGGCTTGCAGATGATAAACGTGATCCATCCATTACTGCCTCTGCTGATTTTGAATTTCTATCTCTGTTGCATTCACTTACCCTGTGGGGGTGCTTGTCTTCAGCTTCAGCTCTAGCAGGTTCATTTCTCCACCTATCTACACTTTCCTGATCTCTAAATATAGGTGAATGATGATCCCTTGTTAAAGAGTTTGATCCCCTGTCTGAAGACAAAGGATCTGACACTTTTGTAGTACCAGAAGCATCCATTGAGCTTGATCGAGGCTTATTAGCATCTGTTGTGAAAATTTTTGATTCAGGTGACAGTGAACCAGAAGCTTGGGAATGTTCCTGGAGTCCAGCTTGTGACAACTGACCTCCTCGATTGACTTCAAGGTTATCAAGTTCATAAGCCTGGTTCCCTGGCGTATCCAACTGCACAAGGGAATCCACAGAACCAAATCTATGATGTGGTCCTAACAAATTTGAAGGGAAACCACCTCCAGAAGCAATTGAAGATAGACGAGCTGCCTCATTTAGACTATAGAGAGTGTTAACAAGTCTCAACAATATCCCATTCTTGGAAGCTATACGACAAAAATCATTCCTAGAATGAGATTTATCAAGTTTGAAAACCTGCCACATGCCATCAATTGCCATATGAACCATTTCCCTGTATTTGCGAAGATGAAGGAAATTAGCGCATATTTTACATGCATATTGAAAAATGACTTTTGCAATCTAATGTTTACTAAAGTTACGTAATCACAATAATTAATTCAACAGTTACCAATGTTCCTTTTTCTCTTCGAATGAAATAATATTTTTCCCCTATTTCTCTACAATTAGAGTTGTGTATATATATGTAGTTGTAATGACTTTATTTAGCTAAATTGATTGAGATTACTCACGCTTACAAGAAGATACTCAAGACCAATGTAATAACTCCACGAGGACCAACTAGACAATTGGTGATACTAGAACCTTTCTATCAAGAGATAACCTTTAGCCAGCTTCTAAACTTTAAGTACTAACTCTATGAGGAGCATTTTTATCCCATGTAAGCAGCCTAGCCAATTTGCATCTTCTGTCGAGACAACTTCTGTTAGGACAGGGTAATTTGCGCTATAGTAGCTTGTTATTCCAATTTGATTAATAAACTTACATTACCTTTTATCACATATAACACCCTTCAAACTATAAATCAATATGGGCAGAGACAAAGTCCCTAACCAAATAGCACAAATATCATAAGGTTTAAGATACAAATTTTGAAATATGGTTATGAGCAAACCAACTGACCTATATTTTGCGTAATCAGGCTCTAAAAATCCCACCAGGATGAGTATACCACGACAAGCAATAAACATTTGCAAGGTCAAGGAGCTGGGAGGGGAAAAACTTTAATCAAGAAGCGTACTAAAAAGGTTTAATGATCACAATACCACATGAGGAAATATATATAAATAAATAAATGTTGAACCTTGACTGACAGAGTTGCTGAATAAAGAATGCAGTCTCCAACCGGACTTCCCTGGGACGTTCTGGAACAGCAAAATTCAGTACTACAGGTATCTGAAACATATAATGGATAAGATAAGAGTAACAGTATTAATATTACAAAAAAATACAAATCCTGAAGCAGTGATATTTGCGTGTAGATTTCCTTATCTTTGGCGAGAAAGATGAGGTTAATAACAGGTTTAATCAGGAGCATTCAAAATTTATAATAAAGGTATCAATTAAAACACGTTTTGCAATTCGCTAATGATGGAAAAGTTTTACAAATACAAGTCTCTAACAAGTTCACCACAGTTCATATCGCAGTTAACTGTGAAATCAACATGAGAAGTTACAACATTCTAGCTATATTTGGATCTGTCTATATGGCAACATTAGCTCTTCAAGCAACAACAAAGACTTATGTCACTTAATCAACAACTCAACCCGTGTCTTTAATAGCTTCTACCCATTCATTCCTACCACACAAAATTTGTGTTCTTTCACTTGAACACTACAAGAACGCGTTGAGTGTAGTCATTGGCGGATTCAGATGAAATTTTTCGAGGAGACACAAATGTAATGAAATTCCATTACAATATACAAAGCTTATGAATCAGAATTGTCTTTTATGCATTTTCATACATTGTGAAAATAACAACACAAGTCTCTTACAAGTTCACCACAGTACATCATCATTTCAGAATTGTGCATTTTCATAACCAAGTCTTTTACAAGTTCACCACAGTATATCATCATTTGTAACAAGCTTAAGAAGATAACAACACAAACAATATGCACTTTTTTTTTTTTCACAACATACTCTTAACCAAGTAACACATTGATCAAACCACTTGATTGAAATGATGCACATTGGCTATGTTCACTTTCTTAAGGAAATATGGTCATGTAGTTCACAAGGACCTTTTAAAAGATATACTCTTATGGTCTCATAACTTGATTTGGGTTACATTCAAAAATCCTTTTTCTCTTTACAGGATCTGAAGGAAGTCTATTCAAATCAGTAAAGTCTTTGATAGATGAAGTAAAAGAAATGGACTGAGAAATACTTTGAATTGCACACTAGGAGGGACATCTCTTAAACCAGTTCCATTTTCTAGGGAATGTTTTCTTGTAAAAAATCTCTCCATCACTTAGACCAAGATTTGATCTTCATCATAATCCCTCCAAGATCCAAAGTGGCAGTTCATCCAAAAAAAAAATTCTTAGAAAAAAAAAAAAAAAAAACTTGTAGTTTAGGATGATTGAGGGGTGAGGGATATAGTGCCACTTTCTATAATTGGAACCAGGAAAAGATCAACCATGCTTGTTCATACTTGTTTAAAACTGAGACTTTTCAGCGATTTCTTCCAATGTGATTGAGGGATGAGGGATATAGTGCCATGAAATTTCACAATTACTATTAACAAGATTTTGATTTTATTCATCAAGACACCAGTAAAATGAACTAGGAACATAGTTTAAATTAGATACAGAAGTAACAAAATATTCTCAGCATCCTTGGAAATTAAACACAGAAGTGGGAACCCATGCATATATTTATTTTTTTCTGTGATATTTGAAATAATAATAAGCGCCTTTATAAACTGGAGATAGAAGTACCTAGAACTTTAGAAATACTTACAAGGCCTATTAGACAAGCACTCTCTAGAATATCAGTGTTATCTTTGACTATTAGATTGAGAACGTGGATCACTGAACTTATAACCTGAATTTATGAAGAGGAAATTATTTATATGTTAGTGAGAATCAATTAATGTTCTTGATAAAATATAGGTAAATCAAGTCTGAGCATCCGATAAATTGCGTACATGAGAACTTTGGACTTCAAGTAGCTCCATTAGAGGAAGCAAACCATGTTGTTTAATGAACACAATTTTCTGCTCTGGTCGCTGCTTTAAAAAGGTAGTTAGCTTTTGACAAGCAGATAGGATTACCTCTTCTGGTTCATCCGGCCTCAAACATGACACTAACTTGGAAAATTGAACAGCCTGAATCACATGCAACATATATAATATTTTTAAACCATAAAAATATGTTATTAATGAAGATAGCAAGAAAAAAAAAGACTAACGGATGATTAGATGATACAACAACTCCCAACCAGAAGTGAATATATTGCCATGTAAACAACCAAATACCTAAACTACAATAGTATATCAACAGATGCTACACTGAAGTTAATGTGATAATCTTTTAGACCAACTGCAGCTTTCAACTCCAGAGAAGCAAAAGGTAAAGGTTAATATTAAGAAGAGTAATAATGAGATGGGGGAGAGGACAAGAAGTTTGAAATTAGGAATATCAGTCTGCAAATAACAATATCCAGAGTCTTTTATGCTCTTAAGAACACTTCAGAATCACCAACTAATTCAATGATAAAATGAAGTTAACATATTTTCAAGTGCCCAGTTCACAACAAATGAATAACTAAAAAAGACGAAGGGGAGACATGGCATGTAGGTACCTGAATATGAAAGGCATTTTCTGGAGGTAATTTATCTTCAAACCCCTAACATATAAGAGCAAAAATTAGAAGCAAATATAACTAGAATCAATCATTCAAAATTATCTATGTCAAGCACACCAGATTGTTATTATTATCAGTTGCATCTTCCTTTAAGACACCCATCATTAGACGAATTAGGTCACCACCATTAGCCTGAGCTGATCCATTCTCTTTCTGTTTTTTAGCTATTGTAGCTCTTAACCTTGTAGCCAGATCAGTCTTTCGATTGTTAGGGACTCTGTCACCTTTTTTCTCAGATGAAGCAGAAGCAGAAGTAGAGGCTTCGGGCATCTCATCGTCCAATTCCTCCAAAGGATGAAACAAGTCATCCAAAGAAGCATCATTTGGAAGATCACTAAACTTGCTCAGTTCATGTCCTCCCAAATGAATTGGCGCTCTCACAACCTACATTGGCAACCAAAAAACAGAAAACATCGAGTAGTTTTTATCTTAAATGATAACACAAATGACTTCCGCAAAACAAGAAATAAAGAGAATAGTATTTATGGTGGGAAGCAGAAGGCCAACAAAGTTTAGAGAAACTAATTTATATAAGCGTTAAAAATTAACATTCAGATGAATAAACTTTGGTGAATCACAATGCTGGAGAGAAATGAAACAGGAACTAGAGACAAAATCACAACTAGCTCCATTTTATATCAGTTAACAAAGAAATTTGTGCAATAAAGAAAATCTATGCAACTAATAACCAACTATTATATGCCCATTATAAATTTATCACATTACAATACACCCTAGAAGTGGAAACGATCTGGTTGACCTACTTGAAAAGAGCAAATCTGAAAATGAAAAGGTGTTTATTACTTGTCTCTGAAGTCCATATTTGAGTCTCTCATTTCCCTTAGTTTAGTTCTATGTTAATGTTTCAGGCGTTTTGTTTTGGGTTTAAAGTTTTTGTTTCGTACTTCTTCACTTTATCATCTATGTAGCTACAACCTGAACTATCAAATGAGACCTCCCTACTCCCCGGACAAAAAAAAAAAAAAAAAATGAAGAAAGAAAAAAAAAACTATTATTATGATTTGATTAAATGTGATAAATGATGTAATGTGGAATTCAAATCAGCGATGAATAGCACTGAGAATAAGTAAGAATATCAAACCCACTACAATTTGGAATCCTTACAAACTTGGCATTCTAAGATTGGAACCAAGACCAATATTTTAAATGGACCTGCCGCAAGCCTAGTTCAAACTATTTGTTTTATCGCTAGTTTTCCCATAGCTTTGCACAAGGCTTCAATATAAACAATATTGCAAACAATTAACCTTCAGGTGCATTTGGTAATTAAATGAAATTATAGAGAAATGAGAGTAGATGAAAAAGATAAAAAATGGAGAGAACATGACTTCAATAGAAAATGAGAATTGATTTTTCTATTTGGTAAAATATAAAATTCAATTAAGAAATATAAAAGAAAATGCAGCGATATTGAGAAAATAATATATGGAGATGATGCATTGATCAAGAGAAGATGATGAATCGAGTAAATAGGGAAATGGAAATCTGTAGAGAATATTAGGCGTCTTTAGTTGGTGATTTTTTTAAAAATAATTTGAGCACGATGTTTGTAAAATCAAAATAATGTATTTTTAAAGAAAACTGTAAATTTTAAATAGTACCATAGAAATGAAAAAAAAAAAAAAAAAAAACACACAAATGAACAGACCCTGCACCTTTCTCAATGAACACTAAAATAGGGATATTTCTATTTTTTTTATTTCCATTTCTATGTACCAAACACACCCTTGAATTTTTTTGCTTAGCATAAGTCGATGCTCAGAGGGTTTGAACTGATATCTGGTACCATGATGACCTTCAGTCTTAGAAAAATAATTAACATAATCCTTATACCATAATATATATGTAAAAAAAATAATAATAATAATTGATTACCTTTCGAGGACTATAGTCCTTGTTTCTTTTACTATATTCCGCATTAAATGTACTTTTTCTGTCAAATTTTGCAACAGCAGTATTTTCCTTTGTTGAACCATAAGGGTTCAACTCATCAGTTTTCAGAATGTCAGCCCGCTGATCAAATTCGGATGTTTTGTCTCCCGGAAAATAAGAACACGATGGCTCATTGTCGCCTACCAGTCTACTGGAGCTAGTTTGCTTATCTAACCTCTCATTTATAGTAGGGGCATGATTAGAAACCAAATTATCAACAAGGTTATCGGGCCTTCCATCTGCATGATTAGCATTGGAAACACCATTATCAATAGACTTCCGGACAATTTCCGCCTCTGATGGTAGCTGCTGAAATTCCTACAACCCAGAACAAGAATTTGAAGTGAACAAAAAAAAAAGTTCTTTGGTAAAAATAAACAAATAAATATAAAAGAAATTAAACCAAAAAGGAAAGTTTCAAACAATAATTACTTTACTTTCTCAGCAGAAGAAGTTAACACAACATGTCTTCTTTCACCTCCATTTGATACAGCTTCCTCTGACTCAACTTCATCAATGTTTCTACAAAATTATATGAATTTAATATTCTACACATTAGTATCCATATATCAAGTTCAGATATGGGTGAAACAGCAAGCCCAAGAAGATGCCAAGGCGGCACATTGCACAACATTAAATATCAGAAGGAACATATTTTCAAACGGAATTAAGAAAAAAAAAAAAAAGAAGAAGAAGAAAAGAGGAGGAGGACATACATCATCAGAAAGCAATAAATGCTACCAAACTAGCAAATCAATAGATAAATCACAAACAAGGTGGCAGATCATTTCCTTTCTGTTTTCCTCAAGAATAATCACACTTATTTTCTCTCTCTCTCTCTCCGAAATTCCTTTAGCTCTAAACCAGCCAAGGTGGCACATTGCACAACAATAAATATTAGAAGGAATATATTTTTAAAGAAAGAAAAACAGTAACCTAAAGCATCAGAAACAATCAAGAGTATCAAAGTTAAAAAACCAATACATAAATCACTCAAAGAATTCCTTTAGCCCTAAATCAAATCTGAATAGTTTACTAAGAACTTGGACACAGAATCTAGTTGTATAGCCAAAAAGGAACCTTTGATGGTTCATAGCCACAGTTACATGCATATGTGAATGTATTACACTAAGGTTCTTTTACATTAATTGAAAAATAAACTAAATCTATCAAAAGATAGAAATAAAAAAATTATAAAAATCCATGAATTTAGCAACAACAAAATGGTTCATCAGTCTCCACAAGGTAGAACTGTGAACAGAGCCCTAGCCTTGCAGCTAACTATGTAAGTTGTGCTTTAGGCCAAAAGGCAACTTCACTCCACTATATAATTCCTAAAAGTACGTCGAATTTTAGTTGCAAGTCAAGTAACAAATAAGTGGTTTTCCACAGTGCATTCTTCATATCAGAAATCTTTCAAGGGATTATTTGATCTGTTTGCTTATCGTTCCAGATTGTGGTTAGAAGATGATGTTTGGGTTGTGATGTAATAAATGCATGATTAAAATAATATAAATATATATATAGAAATGTTTTAAGGACTACACCAGTACACCTCAATAGAGTATATTCAATATGGATGTCATTTTATGGAGAATAGAACTATATATAATCCAAAATATATTACTAACATAAATCAGTTTCATTAAAATAAAAATGTATATAAATATGTCTGTTTATTTAGGTGAAGGTTAAAAATAAAATATTATAAATAGGTCCCACATTAAAGATTTTTGGAAAATATTGAAGATGAAAAATGCTGGTAGCTCAGGGAAGACCAGAAGCGGGGAGACAACCAAGCACTCCCTAAATCATCATCTTCAATAAGATTGGGGAAATTTTATGTTTAGTAGTGCTAATATAGTAACAGAATTTCATTTTACCTTTACATCTATACTATACAACTACATTGAGTTATAGATAATTCAATAATGAGTTATATAATTTCTCTTTAGTAGACATTGTTTGAGATCCACTGCAAGTCATGCAAATAAAGGAGACCAAGTTGGAGATCTATTAGCCAAGGCTTTACCTAGCACTCAACTCAATTATGTTTTTGACAAGCTGGAGCATTACTGCTCCAGCTGAAAGGTTGTGTTATATATGTATATATATATATAACTATATTAGTTAGTGACTTGATTATAGAGCGTGGGCCTAAGCCCAAATTAGATTAAGGATTTTTATATAAGTGTATATTGTAATCATGTTGATTAAGTTAATAGAATACAGATTAAAATTTGAAGACTTGATAAGTTCATTTTGCTGATATGTAAGTGAATAAATGAACTTAAAAAGCCACAATATAATATATATCAATATACCTTAGCGATCTGCTATAACGCAGAGATCTCTGCAGTGCACGTCTTGAATTTTGGATCCAAGGGTGTGAAAGTAATGCCCTTGCATCAGGCCTCTGCCTGGCATCCTGAAATACAACGAAAACACAAATGAGCAATGTTACTCATCACTAGACTCTAAGGATCTTTTCCAAGCGCTTGGCACCTATTAGATTTATATACTCAAATCATATTTAGTGTTTGATCATGTGTTCTCACTCTTCATCTTAATGTAAGCCCTATTTTGACTTGTAAATAATAATATAAATCTCCTTTCCGGAAAAAACAAGAAGGCCTATAATGCTTTTTTCCACATATAATGATTTTTCTTGTAAAGGAAAAGACATTTAAATCCATATTAACAACCTTTTCTCCATATTGCCTTGATGCTTTTCCTTTTATGTTTAGGACCAGTTATATCACCCTCGGGATTACCATTTTTACAGTTCCTATCTTAATGATAATAAACAAACCAAGGAAGCATTTCATACGTAGAATGTACAAAAACAATCAAATCAAATAGAATAAAGAATTTTATTGTTTAATATTTTCAACTCTAAAAAATAAATTGTTTCACACGCTGAAAACAATCAAACCTTACATCCAAACGAAGCAATTATTTTCCTTCCTCATATTAGATTAACTTGTATGTCAATGTATATATGTATATACATATATGTGTGTGTGTGTAAGAGATTGTGTCCAAGGTTGTCATGGCGTCCTTTTACGGCATGCCGCCTGTAGACTGACATACCGCCGTGGTGACATGGCGCCCGCCATGGTGACAAAATGGCGAACACCGCGCACTATATATAATTTATATATATATTGTGTTATAAGTATTAAATAGTAAGGGCGTGTCTCTTTTGATACGGTTTAGAAAATTTTAGTTTGAGTTTGATATTAAAATAGTGTTTGATGGGATGTTTTGTGAGAAGGAAAAATATAATTTTTTTTTTTGAAAAAACACAGAATCTAATTAGGGTGTGTTCGTTTGTAGAATTTCAACAAAATTCTACTATTCATCTAATATTTTTCCCCCAAAAACATCAAATTAAACACCTATTTTTTATTTTTTATATTATACTAAAAATTAATTTTACATTCAAAACATCACATCAACACCTATTTATATCACATCAAACAACTATTCAAATTCAAAATTTTTACTATTCAAATCCCAACTCAAAATCCAAACCCCCAAACAAACACACCCTTAGTAAAATTGTAAGGATTTGGTGCAAAAGAAACACACCCTATGTAACTAGACAAAAAAAAAATTATGATAAATAAACAAAAAAATAATTATACAATAAATAATACATAATAATGCAATACACTGTTACTAAGATAGTATAAATGAAAAATAGCAGTACTAGAGTTAATGGAGTCTGAGACTAGAACGCTAAAGGATATTAAGATTAAATTGATAGTATAAAACATTCAGTGAGATGAAACGGCGAATGAAATGGTGGGATGATGCAGCGAAATGAAATTGTAGATAGGGAGGAGAGCAAGGATGGTGATTTAGGGTTCGATCCGGCTTAAGGCTTTAGGGGCTAAGGTAGGTGTGGTTTTGGGGGCCCAGGATGTCCTAGGTTGGAGACTCACAATGTTTTGGGCTAACCAGGATAGCGCCATGGCGTCATTGAGGCGTCGTCAGGACATCTCCAAGCCACCTTGTTTGATATGGCGAGGCTATATGTCCCGGCGCTTGCCAAAAAGCGCCAGAATGCCATGGCGACCACCATGGCGACGCTGTGACAACACTGATTGTGTCTTTCTTGCATTATATATTTTCTTACATCATATATTCATGACATAATTTTGTGAAACATGAGAGGATACTATAGCAGTAGTTTATAGTAATTTTTTTTTTTTTGTTTTTGTGGGTGGGAGTGGGGGCTAATAACCTTGGTTGTATGGGCAAAGAAAACTAAGCAAAATTTGAATTAGAATCAATCATCATTCTATTTTCTTATAACGGAAAAACACTTCTATAGAATCAGAAACCTGAACTTGAAGTTTTGTCCCATATGAGGCAAAGACATTATGTTACCTTATTTATCATAGAAGGTGGCAAAGATAAACTGAAAACTCTTTCGTTCGTAAAATGCAGGCCTACTGAAGTACTGATTTCCTATGTCTAGGTTCTTCATAATGATAAGAGGGTGTTCGTTTCTACAATGGGAAATCTATGATTTCACCATTAAATAATATACTCTTTCCTTTTCCCCCTCAAAAAAAAAAAAAAAAAAAAAAAAAAAATGGAAGAAAATAAGAAGAATAAACATTGAGAGAAAACTATTAAATATAAAAAACTTATATATTTATAAAACACAGATATATAATGTGACTTGCATCTAACCTTCTTAAAGCACTGCAGCAGAAAATCGTTAATATCTGGAGATAGACTCTCTGGAATTGGCGGATGCTCATCCTACAGAAGTGGAAACATATTAAATGGACTAAAAGAAACCCAGATATCTTATTAATATACTGAAGTAATAAGGTAAGCTTGAAACTGCACTTGCTCAGTTCCTTCATATTTTTGTTCTTTAAATTGGTTAGAGGTTCAATACCAACAGAAAAATTAACCATAATTCAAAACATAACTTTAATAAAACAAGATCATACAATTGGTTAAAGGTTCAATACCAACAGAAAAATTAACCATAATTCAAAACATAACTTTAATAAAACAAGATCATACAAGAACCTAAATGCCATGCAAATGCCCTATACATGAATTTCAACAACTAACAAACCTGAACAATGTCTTATGCCAATAGCAATAGATAAAGCAGACCAAGATAGTACCTGTACAATCCTAAAGAGCGCAGGCATGGGTTGGAGATCATAATATGGGGGTACACATGTTAAAAGCTCAATCACAGTGCACCCAACACTCCAAATGTCTGATGCTGCACAAACTCCCGACATTTCAATGACCTGAAAATAATGGAAAACATTCAGACATAGTGCGGTTTATGAACACCTTCCCTATTCCACAAAACCATACAAAAGTAAGCACATGGTCAACAAAAGTAAAGGTGTAAAGGAATTAAATGAAATGCTGCAAAAAAGTTAAGGGCAAATAGCATAGCTATTATAGACCTGAACTTATCACTTAAGCCTACTGTCTAAAAGGTACAAAAGGAACAGAAGGAAACAAAGGACTTATATTCCAAAGAAAAAGTAAATTTTTTATGAATAAGTTTTAACGAAAGCTGGCTGGTACAAAATGAGTAAAAGTGTAATGTATGCGTTCATTCAGTTACATTTTTGAGGGGCTGAAATAGTTTGTCTTTGTGTGAAAAATAAGCTTCAGCCTAGTTTTTTTATTAAATGATCTTTTTTGTTCGTCTGTATATTATTTGCTAAGAGACATATTGTAGGCATAAGGGTTAATAGATGTACACTGGGTTTTATATATTTTATCTAAAACGGGAGAGAGAGAGAGAGAGAGGAGATTTAAGTGTAATAGGTTTGAGTTGTTATTAATGTGTTTTATCTCCATGTGAGAATGATGAAAATGCATCCTATTGTTCACAGGCTAGAGAGGTTGCAACCTGCTATAAATTTCCACACACTGATATGGTTAGCAACATTTAACACCAATAGAACAGATGCATTTAATATTCCACAAGACAACTCCCATTGCATAAAGAGTTCATTTCCATGCAGCATACAACAAAATGACGTAAATGATGTTCATTCATGCAATTAAAAGAAAAAAAAAAAAAATCTCTTTTCCAGCGTACAGATTCCACTTCTCTCCAAGTCAAACTACTAATACAGTGGTCGCCGAACTTTTTATTCTACCAAAGCAACAGTTCTCTTCAATGCATACAACTTCCACGCTCCCAGTAATAATACAATGAAAGAAATCACACACCACAAATACAAAAAATAACACATACCCACCAAAATAAATACACCAGACACTACCCATAGAGTATCTCTGTTTATCACCTCAACTCCATATTTGTAATAAAATAGACAAAAGTGACAATCGAAAAACTTAATAGGTTGTGTTTGTTTGTGTCTTAGAGTATTTAGATTTGAAATATCATTTAATGAAAAATGGGGTTTTGGTGTGATGTTTTTAATGGAAAGTAGATATATGATGTGATCCTTTCAATGTAAAATAGGTTTTTGATGTAATATTTGAATGAAAATAAGGTAGGATATAATATCTTTTAGGGGAAATTTAATCATACTTCTAAATGGATAGTGTGAAAACATAGTTGAGAATGCAAATAAACACACCATAATCAAACATATATCGATTACATATACAAATTACATTGTGGGAGACCGTAAGTCAATACTCAAGCACATTCCCTAGCTAACCATAATGTAATCTCATTACACGACAACAGGCTCCTATGAAATCTAGCCTAAGATCTTGCATATATTGCTTAACATTGAATTGTTGAGCTGCCTACATAACTCAGCCTGCCATATTCCCACCACACCCATCCCAAAACAACCGGTGTTTCCAAACTTCCTACGATGACCATGAAAATGAATCAAAGCAGTACCACAGATAAGACAACCAAAAGTGTAAACTTTGACTTTGTAAAGCTAGCTTAGCATCAGAATTCATATATGCGAGTATACACACACCTCAGGTGCCATCCAATAAGGCGTTCCAGCGACCGAATGTGTATTAAAATCTGCTTCAGTCAGCTTTGTGGCAACTCCGAAATCTGCAAGTTTCACAAGACCCTGAAAGTATTAAGTTAGAGACCCAAAATGAATAACAGAAGGTACGGGTTGAGAACACATCGTGACATGTAAGAACAATTCAAGGGAGAAAAATACACTAAAATCCAAGGACATTGAATCATAAATGCAAATACAGAAGTTCAAAGATAATAAAGTAACCATTAATTAATCAAATCAATGCAATGGAGGAACTATATTTTATCCCAGGAGACACCACTAAGTCTCTATCTCCCCCCTTCTCAAAAGAAATTTTCGTAGCTCTATCAACTTGTGATGGGAACAAGGCTTTGTCCATGGTTTCAATCTAAATTTTCAAAGCCTTATGAAATTTTCTCCATTCGGGCATCATGAAATTTTCAAAGCCTTATGAAATTTTACTGCTCGGTTTAAGATCTCTCCTTCATTCGTATGAGCGCCCCTGTTGAAGCTATGAGCAACCATTTGTTTGTTTGGGTGCCCATTTTGAACAAAGTCAACAAAAATAAGTATTTTGAAGGGAACACTCCTTTTTTAGTGGTTGTGTTACTCCCACCCAATCAGCACTTCACTTTCTCGCAATTTTATGATTCCCAGCCATATCTGTAATTGAGCTTTATGTAGGAAAACTCAGAAATAGGAAGGAAATGCATATTTCAAACTTGGGAGGGCCCACACTTCTAGGGAACTATAGGATGGCTTAGCTTAGTGATAAGTATGAGAAGTAATGGCTTAGTGTTTCTAGGAAGATGGCACTTCTTAGAAGAGGGTTGTTTATGATAAGTATGGTACCTAACCTTTGGCCTTCCAGTCTCTTTGTAGCCTTTCATCTAGCATTTAGGCAATATAAAAATCCTAGCCTCAGACTCATAAGGCAAACTTTGGGTACAGGACTTGTAATGGTAGTAGAATTAGATATTGTGATGTCCCTTGGCCTCCTATCTACGTACATTTGAAGATTGCATTTAGTTATATCAATGCAATTGCCTACTCTAAGTTGGGAATCAAAGAATTTGGGCATTAGAAATAAGACCCTTAGCTAAGAGACATCAAGCTTCATCATCCACTTTTTGATTGTGAAAAGGATTTGTGGGAGATTTCGCATAGCTATTTTTTAGCTCCACTCCTTTAGCCTCATTCCCAGATAGATTGATCTAGTAACTCCAATAGTTCTTTCTCCTACCAATCCTACAATTGGGTTAAAGACACTAGCGGTCTTCCTCTATGGGTCTCTAGTCCATTAGTATGGGAGAAAAATGCTCTTCATACAGCTAACACTTTCATTTGGAAGTTGGTATAGATGATGTTGTTAAAAGAGATTCTAGCATCCTGACCAGCCATTAATGTTCCTTGCCCTCTACCTTCTTGTTACGAAATATGTATATGATCTTTCTTGCATTGCTCATCACTGTCTTCTTCTGGACACATCTAGGGAATCTTGCATGTCTAGCCTATCAGTCCACAACCTCATAAATCAATGAAGTTAGTAGCTTATCAAAAAGTGTACTGCGAGATTCGGAATGTAACTCAATTCTATGGTAAGTGTGGAAAGTGCACAATTGAGTATAGTTGAGTTTTTTTCGGTGTAGCATGTTATTTCTCAATCTCAACTTATGGTTAGAGATTGGTATAGAGCACAATTTCCAGTCGATATACCTTTCGCTTTTTCTGGTCAAAATGTTCAAGAGATTTCCAACATTCCCCTAATGGCTAATAAAGTTACACATCAGTGGAGTGATCAGGCCCAGATGAAAGTTGGTGGAAAATTAATATAGGCTATTTATCTTTTGGCAACCATGGGCAAGCAAGTATTGATGCGGTGATTAGGACCATAAAGGTCTTGTCCTCTTAATTCTCTCCACACCCATTGGTATGTATGACTCATGTGATGCAGAATATTGGCTATTACCCAAGTCTTCGACTATATATTGGTTGGTTATGAGAAGCCTTTTCCCAAAATTGTTGTTGAATGCGACTCTAAAATTGCTTTAGGCTGAATCAAAAGTGCCTCAACCCCATAGAAATTCAACTTTCATATCAATCAGCTAAGGCTGTCCATTTCCCGATTCCCTCTTATCGCCTTCCATTTCACTTTTAGAAGTGCCAATGGCCTTGCAGATTTTTTCAACAGGGGCACCTGAAACAGCGAGGAGCTCTCCTTTTGATTATAGTGCTCTCTTTCTATTGTGCGGCTTGTTTGCTTTTTATTTGGGTCTATCGTTTCTCCTTGTACTTTGCTTGCATCTTTAAAAAATGTCTCTCCAAAAAATATATATAAATGCACCAGCTTTAATGCAGCAAGATGGCATAACAAACTAGAAGGTATACCTCTTTTGTAAGCAAAATATTGGCTCCCTTGATATCACGATGAATTACCCCTTGTTCATGTAGATAAACCAGACCTTCTAATACCTGATCAACATATACTTCCTGATATTAGGAACCAAAACAGAGAGAAAAAAACAGAAACAAACTAACCAGGTATGAGATCAGTAACAAAACCTGAGCTATATAGACAGCCACTAAGGACTCTGGAAAGGGCCCAAACTTATTTGGCTTAACAATGTTAGCAAGTGAACCATTTTCCACATACCTTGAAAGCAAATAGATAAAGATCATTCATCTTTTTATTTCCATCATTTTATGAAAATGATGAATAGACTCACTCAAGTATAATGTGAAGATGAGTCTTTGTCTTCAATGATCCAAGATACTTCACAATATTCTTATGATTTAGATTCTGGAAGAGGAAGTACATCATTAGTTATAGAGTAAAAGCACAAAAAATATCCCCAAAATGTTACAGTGTATGCCCCATTATGAAATATTTGCACATAAAAACATGATATAGAATCCATGTGGCTGAAATACACATCAGCATAACACATTGATTGATAAGAGCATAGACAAAGGGAAAAGTAGGCTTCACTTATGGGACAATTGAATATATTTTTTTTTTGTGTGTGAAATCTTGCAATCAAAACACTCTTATAAATGAACTCAAAAAAGGAATACGCATTTAAACCAGAAGTCAGCAGTCACCTCAGGAAGCAGTATTAAGTAATAGAAACGGTAGAACTCCGTGGTTTTATAAAATTAAAGGTGAAAACTGCATGCCTGAAGCTAACCATAAGTAAGAAGGGGCATCAACAAAAAAAAGTCATAATGCCCTTTCAGAAAATCAATCTCATGCAAGTGGGCTATCTTAACAATCAATAGACTTTACAAATGGGATCAAAATGAGCCTGAGCATCGAAACAAGTGTCAGCCACCACTTCATCCTAAGAGTGTTGTCAGAAGAATTAGAGGGTTTAATTAGACATATATATGTGCTGAGAACTTACTAACACCAATGATAGCGGACAGTTTATATTACTTAGAAGATGTGGCGACAAAATTACCTTCAGCAGATCAATCTCTTGCTGCCAGGTTCACGCCATTGTTGCATCAAGAGAATCACAAGTGTCGCCAAAAAGGTTAAAAAAAAAAAAAAAAAAAACAGGTTAGTCCAAATTCATACAAAATGTCGTATGTCTAACAAGCCATTACAAAAGTTCGGAATCAGAAGTATAGCTAGCCGTTTTTGAAAGGAAAACATGTAAAAACAACAACATTAAGTCTAACCATAATAATGTTGAGATCCTCCTGGACTATATTCTCTAGAGACACTTGCTTGATTGCAACAAAATCCCCATTCTCCAAAACCAAACCCTTGTACACTCTCCCATACGCTCCTTTCCCAATTTCATCTCCAAGCATCTGTGATATCAACACACTTCTCTCAACCCAAAAAGGAAAAAAGCGACAAAAATACCCATACAGTGACAACCAATCAACCATACAAGGGAGAATTACGCTTACATATTTGTTGTCCAGTGTTTTGGGTTTGTGGAAAGCGCTCGTCGCCATTTGCCGGGCCATCTCTGGGTGCCCCGACGGAAACGAAACCCTAATTCTGAAATTTTTCCTCTTCCACCTTCAATAAATCCGCCATAGCCATAGTATTCTGGGCACATGAATATTGGGAAGTGGATGGGTAATTGAAGCGGGATTCATACGATCGATCGATCAATCCCCTGGTGTATGATCGGCGGTGCAAATCTCCGGCGCATATGAGAGAAGATGGTATTGCTAATTTTGTTTTGTTTGAGAGCAACAAACACAAGAGATGTCATCTCAGTCAGTCAGCATTGTGATTTGGTCAGGTTGGATCCGATTTGGCTGGATCAAGGTTGAACTTATTAGTGTTTTGTAGTTGTGCTTTGGAGGAAGGATCCGAATTGCGACACTGCTTTGGTTGTGAGAGCATGTTTGGTTTAATTTGATTCTCGGATGGCTATGATTCGGTTACGTCAACTCATGAGGATGTCTGGCCTTGTCCACTGGTTGGAATTTTAGGTGATTATTTTATATTATATTTATTTTGTGTATATGTTCATATGTAGTTTAGGTTTGTTTGTGTTTTGTTTAAATTAGGTTTGTTTGTGTTTTGTTTAATTTTTATTGGGCTTGCTGATTTGGCTTGTATAAGAATGGTGGTGGTTTGGGCTTTCAAATTGGGCTGCAAAGTATCATCAGGTCCTTAGGCTTTGGTACTTTGGTTGTCTGGTTGGGCTTGAATAAAAAAGGCTTGCTATTTTTGTGGAAGTAGTTCTAGACTGTCTTTGCGCCTTGGCATCACTGATTTTATAGGCATATTGGGCTTCACAGTCGGACTAGGGGGTGAGCATTCGGATTTTCGGTTCGGATTTTGCCAAATCCGAACCGATCCGAAAATCCGAAATTTTTGGAAAAAACCAATCCGAACCGAACAGAAATAATCGAAATCCGAAATCCGAAAATCCGTAATCCGAACTAGAAAATCCGAACCAAACTAAAAAATCCGAAATTCTAAATATTTTTATTATTATTTTTTTAATTTTTAAAATTTTTTAAATTTTATTATTATTTTATAATATTAAATATATATAATATATAAAAATTAAATATATTAAAATATAATTAATAAATTGGAGTTTTTTATATTAAAATATAATATTTTCTAATAAAATATTAAATATGTATAATAAAAAAATATATTAAAATGTTATATTTCGGATTTCGGATTGGTTCGGATTTTAAGTATACAGATCTGAGCCGATCCGAAAATCCGAAATTTGTTAAAAACAATCCGATCCAATCCGAAAATCCGAAAAATCCGAACTAAATTTTAAATTTCGATTTGGTTCGGATTAGATTTTCGGATTTCGGGTATTTTGTTCACCCCTAAGTCGGACCCTTGTTGGGCTAGACGTTGGATTCTTTGGATGGATTGTTTGGTGTTTATTTTGAGCTTTATTTATTGTGTTGTTATTAGCCATGATATTTTTTAATTGTCATGAGGTCATGTAATTTCTCTGTTTTGCAATATAATATATTACATCCATCCATTAAAATTAGTCCAATTGGGGTCGGTATGGAGATTAATAAAAATGAATATTTTATTAAAAAAATGATAAAAGTAAAAAGGTAATTTGGGGTATTTTTAAAAATTTAGTTAAAAATTAAAGTAAATGAAGAGAGATACTGTAAAAAAGATAATGATATTTATTGTAAATAAGTGTTGAATAAAGGGTAATAATTAAATATTGATTTGTTAGCTTTGCCAAAATTAGTAATGGAATAAATTTAACGGGACTAAAAAGAAAAATGTGAGTAAATTTGGCGGACGAATGAAATATATTTTTTCAAAAAACAAAATCTTGAAAACAACAATGAAAAAGATTCCATTACAAGTGGAGATATAGATAAGAAAATACAAAAGTTATGGTAGAATTGGACACAACCATTAACTCCCATGGAAGTTCATTTATAGACTTTAATGAAAAACTTTTTTCCGTACACAAACAATAAGAACATGTGTATACTTTTATTATTTTAATATTTTATGAGTTTTAACGTACCATAAATTAATTTATTATTGGCTATTTTTTATATAGATTAATACACCACCACAATAGTTTACATATATGAAATTCATAAATGTAGTATGTACAATTAGACGTATAAGGTGCATTGTCATTATGTTTGTATTACACAGCTTAATGCAAGAAAATTATTTGATCATTGATTCCAATTATCAAGTTGGTAAGATATTTGGAATGTGTTACTTTGGGCACGAGTTTTTCAAACTCACTGTGCGGCAAATTGAGCGTCAAACCTTCGCATAGGAGACAAAATCTAAAGGCTATGTAACTAGGTGTTGATCACTTCAAAACAAACAATTACAGTCCGGTCTCTACCACCATGCTACAATTGAGCTATTTCACTATTTTGTTCAATCCTTGGCCACATAAAGTTACAGGCAGTTATGCACGGTCATGCTGCATTATAGCAAATAGACTATTTTGTTTGTAGTGTTCTATAAATGGCCGTGCGCCCCTTCGAGTGATTTAGTGGCAGAGTGTCATATTGTTGAGATATATAAACACATTGATGGTCGTCTATGAGTGATTGAATCATGAGTCGACACGTTGTGCGCTCATTTTGAGGTGTTAGATCCAGGTCCCCATTCATCATGTTGATTACGTCTTTTAAGTGTATGCCTTCAAGCATGACAACGGATAACACAATGCACTAGTAAAAATGTTAAGTGGTACTAGTTCTAATACCTAGATCGATGTTAGTTTTCATCTTCTAAGCTTGTCGTATGATATTTATGTTGCAGTATATCCGTTCATCAAATTGTTTCTTACTTTTTGTAATTGCTTTGAATCGGTTCATTATACTATATGATTCCATCTTTTATTATCCATCGACATGCATCGTAATAAATTTCAAAATTATTACATTACCTAACATTATGATGCAAAAAATAATAAAAAATTCACTACACAATACATCCCACTTTTTATTTCATATTGTAATTAAAAAAAATATACAATTCACACAATTTTTTTTTCATACTTTTAATTTAAATTTAAAAAAATTATTATATTACACATATATTATGATATTTTTTTTTCCTATCGAATCAATACACGTAAAAGAACCCCTAAAATCCAAACAACACCTATCAACTCAAAAGAACATAACTCCCCAAAACTATTTTAAAAGTCAAATTAAATCCAAACTTAAACCTAATATTTTCAAACTTTTCCCAAAGGAATGTACTCTTGTTAATTTTCACTTGGCATAAATGATTTATGTAGCATTGCCTCTGGCAAACATAAATATTTCATCCAAGAATATGCCTTTTTGTTATTTTGTATATTTTTGTTACATCTTATTTATTTATCTATTATAATTTTGTATTATATAAAATTTTATTTTTTATATAATGATATTTATATTAATATATTTTATTTAAATTTATTTTTTAAAATAATAAGTTTGATATAAATATATATATATCTATGTATTTTTTATTGAGTTGAAGGAATGGGACGATAATGTGGAAATTGAGTGAAACTTTTAATGAATTTTTCTAACGTGGGTGCTAGCTCTAAGTGTGTCAGTCATTTTATATTTATACGAAATATTTCTATATAACATTGTAAACATTGGTCAAATGCAATTGGTTAATCGATACAATATATGTAAAGATTGTTATTTTACTATGTTAAACCAAAATTAATACTATTCACTTAAAATTTTAATAAAAATATATTATTTCATAAAATATCACATCAAAATACTATTTAAACGAAAATTCTAATCAACAACTCATTTCAATCAATTTGAAATCACAAGCAACCTTTTACAACTCCATGCAAGCAAATCATTTGAGCACAATTCTTTAACCCCAATTACTTCAGATAAAATATTGTGTTATGTTTTATATAATGTAAAAAATTCAATTTATATTTATATATATATATATATAATTGATGTCATGAATGTAATGTACATAATAATTAATCAACATACTATATTGTTGATGCAATTTTTCAATAATAAAAAGTAAAATTCGAAAATAGAGATTATCTTCGAATTTGATAAAATAAATGCCTGAGATTAAGAATCTCTAGACACCATATGATACATAAGTAGACTAGGAAAATAAAAACTACAGACTGAAAAAGTAAATGGTAATCCCCAAAAGCAATTCTCTTGAATTTAATGTCGATTGAAGATGGTTTTTCAGAACAGACCAGAATCCTTAAATAACTCCTTAAAGAAACGGTTTGAACCGTCGTCTGGTCGGTTACAGCAACCGCTGTCAACCGCCCATAAGGTCCTCCTCTGTCAACACGTGTGTTAACCGACTCACCAACCGCTCGCGCCAGTTACAGCACTCAACTGGCTCGGCCGACTGCCTCTGAACACCTTACCGCCTTAAATGGGCGGCTGGCCCGACCGGCTACTCAGCTGCCCAATATAACCCCTGACTCCTTAGACAGACTGCAGGCCAACCGACCAATCCAGATACTAACTGGTCGCTAGACCAAACGACTCATTGGTCGCCCAATCAAGCGACCACCATCTGGTTCCTTCAATCGGCTGAACAACCATTCGTCCAGACGACTCATTGGTCGCCTAATCAAGCGACCACCATCTGGTCCCTTCAATCGGCTGAACAACCATTCGTCCAGATGATTCATTGGTCGCCCAATCAAGCGACCAACTGACCGCCCTTTCAAGCGACTGACCTACTGTTTGACCAAGTGACCGGAAAATCGATCAGGCGATTAACAGGTCGCTTAATTAAGCGCCCAACCAACAGACCCTTTATTCGCCCGACCAATTAACAGACTTTTTCTTTCGTCCGACCTCTTTTTGACCGACCTCCGCATCGGCCGTCTCATCCTTCTTCACCCGACTTCCTCTTTTGACCGACCTCCGTATCAATCATCTCTTCGCCCGACTTCATTTCGCCCGACCTATATGCCGTCCGACCTGGATGCATATTATTTCCTCCGTGTCTGATCTTATCTTGTCCGACCTCCGTGTCCGACCTTATCATGTCCGACCTCAATGCCCGACCTTATCATGTCCGACCTCCGTGCCCGACCTTATCATGTCCGACCTCCACGCCCGACCTTATTACGTCCGATCTCCGTGCCCGACCTTATCTTGTCCGACCTCCGTATCTGCCGAATCATCCTTCTTTGCCCGACCTTATCCTATCCGACATTCGTGTCTGCCGATACTTCTTCTTCGCCTGACTTTTGGGCTATTTGGTTTATCTTCAGAATCCTACTGCCATTATTATTATTATTATTATTATTATTATTATTATTTGTACGTAACATATATATTATATGTAAACATCTTATACATAATAAATAAATAATATGTATGTAAACACAAGTGCATGTGATTATGGTATGTATATAAGTGTGTGTAAGCTGTAGAAAAA